TGTGTGTGTGTGTGTGTGTGTGTGTGTGTGTGTGCGCGTGTGCGCGTGTGCGTGTGTGCGTGCGTTCTGAATGATCACCACAGGCCAGCTGTCACACATCTCAACAGCTCCCTTTTAGAGCCCACACACTTGGCTGAACCGGAGCAGTGAGGCGCTCTGATTTGTTTTGTAGTCTAGAAAACAAACTTCTTTGAAGGGCTCTTGAGCCTTGAGCTCTGCAAGCATAACGCACCCCTGGTGCTTGAGCTCAGCTCTTGTGGAGAGAAAAAGGAAGCTGTTCCACCATGCTCTTCCTCAGCATTGAAAACCCACCCAGCGCGCAGCAGAGGTGCTCTGGACTCAACAGAGCCAGCATGGCCTTTGGTGGACTTGTGTGCACGCTCAGACTGGCAACCTGCCACAAACCTGTGCTGTCCCAAGCCCCTTTGCTGCTCCGCCGTTGGCCTGCTGATTGATTATTCTCTGCCTGGTCACAGTGTAGTGTTCCAACCAATACTCCTATCCTAGATCATTAAGAAACTTTTTGTTTAATTTGGGTTTTGTTTTATTTAACTCATTTAAGAAAACATCTTTAAGCCCAGACTGGGCTAGAACTCACTGTGTACACAAGGATGACCTCGAACCCCTGAGCCCCCTGCCTCTACTTTCTAAGTGCTGGGTTTATAGGCATGTTCCACCATCCCAGTTTATGTGGGGTTGGGAAGCAAACACAGGACAAGTGAATCTCTATCTACTGAGCCACCTCCCAAGCCCAGGAACTGTTTTGTTTTGTTTTGTTCTGTGGGGGCCAAGGGTGGTTTTGCACTCACAGCAATCCAGATTCTCAGATTACAGGGTCAACAACACACCCAGTTCAAGAAACATTTGTTATGGTTTTGTAGTGTCCCCAAGATGCTTCCAGGTGTGCAAAAATGGAGCACAGGCTGCTCTTGCCTGCAGAGAAAACTCAAGGCACTGCCAAACCTCAGACAGGACAGGGATATAGGCTCCTTCCTGACCCTGTTTTTATTTTTTTAACAGCTACGTGTGTGTTTAATGCAAGTATATATGTATTTATTTGTATGGTCATGTATGTGTGTGCGAGCACACGTACATGTGTGCCGTGAGTATAAGCAGCCGAGATTGACACTGGACTTCTTCCTCAGTCAACCTCCACCTTGTTCTGAGGCAGGGCCTCACGAGTGAGCCCAGAGCTCACACACATAATTGCCTACTCTAGCTAGCAGCTTACCCTGGGGAATTCCCTGTCTCCTCCTCCTGTGTGCTGGGATTGCAGGCTGACTGTCATTCCCACCCAGCATTTATGTGGATGCTGGGGATCCAATATGTGGGTGCTGGGACCCGAGCTCCAACCAATCCAACCAATGCTCACCCGCACAGCAAGCACCCACTGAGCCATCTCCTCAGCTCCCCTTCATGAGCTCCATGCAGACAGCAGTAGAGCCATCGTGACACACTGCTCTGATTTGCCTCCATGTACTATCTCTTTACCACCCCCTTGTGCAGGTTGTAATCACTGACCTTCCTGACTGACTGCCGTGGGCCACGTTGACTCATAGAATGATTAGGATCCTGCTGTGTGGTCTGTGGGTCCCGGCACACAGCCCCAAGCATGGTACTGACTGAATCACTAAACAGACAGTCAAGACTGGATATCAGATGGTATCCTTCAAAGATCTAGGGTTCCGCTAGAGTGGAGAAGCTCCTCATGTAAAAACTGGAGGATGGCACCTGCGCGCGCACACACACACACACCCCTGTGACCCCAGCACTTGTGAGGAGGCCAGCCTGGGCTACAGAGCAAGAGCCTGTCTCAACACACAAAAAAGCCACAAGTGAGAAATTAGATGAGTTGTCAGGTGTCAATGCTTGAGACACCGAGGCAGGAGGATTTAGGAGCTCAAGGCTAGACTCAGCTACAAAGTGGGTTCCAAGATCCTTGAACACATGGCCCCTTGTTTCAGTAGCAATGGGAAAAGTTAGATACATCGTTGTGATTGTGAGTGTCCATGTGGTGGCTGTAGCCAGGGATACCTCAGTCCCTGGCCCCTGTGGGACAAATGGGACAACTTCTAATGAATTCTGCTGTTCATTGTCATCGCTGTCATTGTCCCTTTACATCCTTTTCTCAGTCCCACGGAATTCACACCTACTGCCCCCACAGCTGGGCTCAACCGCTCAGGATCAAGGCTGGATCCCTGATTGGTTCGAGGGGCAGAGGCTGACCCCTGCCATCTGCACTGGGGTGAATGTCACTAGATTTCCCTCCTGACCCTTTCCCTTGGTCTCCATTTTTCTTCCATTCTAGCAGATTCTGAAGGCAGGGGAGTCCCGGCTCAAGGGCTCCCTCAGAGGCACCCACTTCCCGTAGAGGCAGAAGTTAGGGTGACTTCATGGTGATTTGTGGTGAAGCCAGAGTGTAGGGATGCACCGCTTTCCAATAAGTTGTTAGGGTAGGCGCCGAGCCTCAGCTGCCTGAAAAGCAGTGAGCCGAAACCAGACATGGAACACTGGAAAGCAGAAAGAGTTATTCAGTGTGGCTGTTTGGGAAGAGGAACAAAGAAGCTACATCCCCACTTCCACTCCACTCCAGACCCCAGCCAATCCTCAGAATCCTATGCAGGATTTAGGTTTATATAGAAGGCTAGGAGGCTAGGGATACTGTAAGCCATCCAGCTAGCCATGGGGCCCTGCCCATCACTGACCCATCTCTAGCAGGGCTCTCTGACTCTGTCAGAGTCATCACTCATCCTGGTAACCTCTCATCCTGGTATCTGCTGATACCAGTTCTAGCTGATACCAGGCAGCAGCCTTTCTTTCTCTCAATAGAAGATTTCCGGGAAAATTCCAATTCCTGGAGTTCCATTGTCTCCTTTTGTTTGTTTATTTGTTTGTTTGTTTTGCTTTGGTTTGGTTTGGTTTTTCGAGACAGGGTTTCTCTGTAGCTTTGAAGCCTATCCTGGCACTCGCTCTGGAGTCCAGGCTGGCCTCAAACTCACAGACATCCCCCTGCCTCTGCCTTCCGAGTGCTGGGATTAAAGGCGTGTGCCACCAACACCCGGCCGTTCCATTGTCTCAATTGTCTGACAGCCATAGGGAGAAGCATAGTGTCTCTTTAGGGAGGGTTGGCTCAGGGGTTAAGAGCACTTATGAAGGAGGACCCAAGTTTGGAACCAAGGACCCACATTTGGTAGCTCACAACTGCTTATAACTCCAGCTCCAGGGAGTTCGATGCCGGAAAATGCCCTCTTTTGGCCTCCTCTGATACCCACAATCCAAACACACTCCACAAATAGAAATAGACCTTTTTAGAGTTGGATGGTGGTGGCGTACACCTTTAATCCCAGAACTCCTGAGGCAGAGGCAAGTGGATCTCTGAGTTGGAGGCCAGCCTGGTCTACATACCGAGCATGTTCCAAGACAGACAGGGCTACACAGAGAAGCCCTATCTAGAAAAACTTTTTAAAAAAGGTTATCTTCATTCCTGCCAGGACAGTAGGTTGTGACTGAGCCTCCAGCCTAACCTGGGTCTCCTGGCTGTACACACAGCTGAGCCTCATTTCCCAGGAATTCAGTGACACTCACGAGTCCCTTCCTTCCCTGCTAGCTCATGGTTCTGTGTTTTTCCTTTACAGGGTTTGATTTCTAACATGACTCTTAACTTCAGTATTCTCACCAATTGGACAATCTTTCCACTGGACACTGAGGCTGCAGTACGCACCCATCTTGGGGCCTGGGAGGCCCGTGATGAGGGCCACCACGATGGACGCTTGACCTTTGGCTCTTCGAACTTTACGCTCCCCACGTTTTATGTGGGCAACTTCTCCATTCCCTCGGGCATCCCAGATCTGCCGCAGGATACCTTCATTCAGTTTCCTGGATGGACCAAGGTATGTGTCTTCATGGAAGGGACTTGGGACTCTAAAAAGAACCAAGCCTCAAGCACTTGGTTCTTAGTGTCCGAGAAGAAATCTGAAGACTATTGGCAGGGTGCTGCGTGACGTTGGGAGGCTTTTCTGCCAGGTCACGCTCAAGACTAGGACTGTCAGTGAATGGCAGCACACTTGCTTCCTCCAGGAGGAACTAGAGCCTGTTTGTTTGTTTGTTTATATGTTTGTTTGTTTTCATTTACTTATGGTGTGCAGTTGCACTGTGTTCATATGCTCCTGCCAGGGCACACATGTGGAGGTCAGGACACAACCCATGGGAGTCAGCTTTCTCCTTCCACGGTGTGGGCCCTGGGGATTGAACTCAGGTCATTAGACTTGTTAGCAAGCACCCTCAGCCATGGAGTCAGCCCCAGGGCCTCTTTAGATGTTGCTTATAAAGGGAACCGTTTTTTGTTTACATAGGTTCTCATGTAGCCAAGGCTAGCCTTGAATTTGCTATGTAGCCAAGAAGGACCTTGAACTTCTGATGTTCCTGTCTCTACCTCAGGTGCACACCATTATACCTGCCTTTAAAATGTTTACTTTTCAGCCAGCTGGGACCTTTAGTCCCAGCACTTGGGAGGCAGAGGCAGGTGGATCTCTGTGAGTTCAAGGCCAACCTGGTCTCCAGAGCGAGTGCCAGGATAGGCTCCAAAGCTACCGAGAAACCCTGTCTCGAAAAACAAAAACAAAAACAAAAAAAAATCCGTAGTGCTGAGGGGGAGGGGTGGGCAGAGATTCTTAGTGACAAATTGATTAATAATTGAAAAGATGCAGATTAAAACATATAATAAAAAGCCAGCTGTGGTGACACACTAGTAAAAGCAATCCTTGAGAGGTTGGAGGCAGGAGAACCAGAAATTCAAAGCTTTCTTCTGGGTCAACATAGTGTTGGAGATCAGATAATAACCAACTTGGGAGACCAGTGAGAGCGAAGCAGTGTTTAATAACAGTTGTGCAGAAAAAGCCGAGGGCATAGAGAAAAAGCAAAATGACCAGTGCCGATTGGCTCACGGCAGTGGTTTGTGAAGATGCTGAATCGTGAGAAATTCCTGTTCTCTCTCCCCTTGGGCCGAGATGTCACCCTCCCTAACTCCCCATCTGTTGCTTTAGCACTCAGCCTTATCTAATGAATACTCTGGGGCTCAGGATGCCCCTTCTCGGATCTTTCCAGACCTCAGAGTTCTGAGATAGCCAGGCTTACTGCCAGCTATGGGAGAGAGGGGCCCAGGGCCTCCTGCTTGTCACTCTGATGGACTCTAAGTGCACCCCATACTAAAAATGGACCATAGCAATTTACTTAAAGTAGCAAGCTCAAGGCCAGTCTGGGCTGCAGGAGAAATTGTCAAACCAAATAAACAAAACCCAAGAGCCATCGGTCCATTCAACTGTTGCCTGCACCTTCCCTCCCCCCTGGAAGTGATCCTACCATGGTCCTCTTGGCGGATTCATCATGTACCAAGCACAGGACGCCTCTGCTGTGCGTTGGTCACCACCATGGTCTCCTCAGTCGAAGCTCTACCTGCCTAGTAAGCTTGGCCCCTCTCTACCTGTCCCTGGGGACCCCTCCTTTCTGACTGCCTTCAGGTGGGACTCCTGTTCCCTGGACTTCCTGTGACTCCCTCCACCCTCACTTCCTGCCCAGTGGGCTCTGGAAGGAAGGCTCACTTCTGCCTGCCTTCTTCCCGGAAGCCAAGCCCCGGTTTCTCACACTTTCTCTGCCTGTGGCTCATCAGCGTTTTCCTCCCTGCAGCAAAGAAGCAGCACCTGGGGGTTCTAGGACCTAAGAACATGTGCAGCCCTGGCTCTTCTGCTGCAGCTAGCCTGGACTCTGCCTCCCAAGCCGCCTTCGCTTTCTCCCCCTCCAAGTAGAACCTAAAGTGAGAAATGAAAGGGTGAAGGACGCTTTGGCACGGTGGTTTTCTTTGCCTGTGCGGGCTACCGAGCCAGATTTTGTGCTTAACGCTTTGCAGAGCCTCTTCCAACTGTCTAGCAGCAGAGTGTTCTCTTGTTACTTGAGTTTGAGCACAAAATCTCTGTCTTTGGCAGCCCTGCCTACTAGCCTTGGCCGCCCAAAGCAGTGTGACAGCTAAAAAGACAAAAGGGGGGGGGGGGCAGCCTGCCTGATAGAGACTTGTTTCCTGTACAAGGGCTCAGCCCTCAGCACCTCATAAAACTAGGAAAGTGGTGCAGTCCCAGCACTCAGGTGGAGAGGAGGACCATAAATTGAAGGTTGTCTTCAGCCGTGTAGCAAGTTCAAGGCCAGCCTGGGCTAGGGACCTTAGGCTGACCTCCAGCCTGCATGTATGAACACACATAAGAAGTCATCAACCTAGCTTTTGTTTTGTTTTGCTAGTTTGTTTTTATTTCACTTTGTTTATTATTACTGTCAATGTGTGTGTGATTGTGTGTGTGTGAGTGTGTGTGTGTGTGAGAGGGGGGGGGGGATGGATGCAGGAATCACAGGTACTTCGGGCTTTCACAGCAAGCCCCTTTCCTTGCTAAGCCAGCTTGTCTGCTCTACCTTGTTTTTTTGTGGCAGGGTCTCTCACTGAGACCTGGTTCAGATTCAGCTAGGCTAGATGGCCAGTGGCCACCACCCCCAGATCCACTAGTCTCCACCTCCCCAGTGCTGGTATTATAAGCATATACCAACACATCGGGCTCTTTATATGGGTTCTAGGAACTGAACTCAGGACCTTATAATTAGAGGACAAACACTTTATGGACAAAGATACATCTCCAGCCTCAAGCAATCTGTATGCCCACATGAAAAAGTGGGCAGCTAGAGGAGAGTGGTGAGGAGAGAAAGGCAGTCCAAGAGAGAGTACCTCGGACCTTACAGGACAAGTATAGTCTTCTGAGGAGAGTCACATTTAGGTTACCTTACAATGGTGTCTTCGGTTTTTATTGCTGTGACAAATCTCCAAGGCAGCATGACGAGGAAAGGGTTTACTTCAGCTGACACTTCCAGGTATCAGTCTCCCTGGGGGAAGGCAGCATGAAGAGGAAAGGGTTACTTCAGCTGACACTTCCAGGTATCAGTCTCCCTGGGGGAAGTCAGGACAGGAACTCAATGGGGCAGGAACCTGGAGCAGGAGCTGATGCAGAGGCCATGGAGGGTGCTGCTTACTGGCTTCCTCCCCATGGCTTGCTCAGTCTGCTTTCTTACAGAACCCAGGACCACCAGCCCAGACATGACTCTACACCTACAATGGGCTGCGCCCTTCCCCGTCAATCATTAATCCAGAGAATGATGAGCAGGCTTTATGGGCCAGTCTAAAGGAAGCATTTTATACATTGAGATCCCCCCTTGCCAGATGACCCTGGCTTGTGTGAGGTTTATAAAAACAAAATCTAACCAGGACAATGCGTGTAGTATTTTGGTGGCTGTCATGTTACATCTTTAAGGACATTACCCCTTAAAAAACTAAAAGGACAGCATCCTTGCACAGAGCACAAACGGCTAATCTCACCCTTACTTTGTTTTTTATACCTAAAAAGGTTGTACTTAAAATACCCAAGTGTGTGCACAGATGTCTCCAGTGGTGTCATCCATGATTGTCAACAGAAGGTGACAAGCCAAAAGTCCACCTGATGCTTGCATGTTGACACTTTAATCATCCATGCCATAGAATCAACTGGTAACTAAAAAAATGAAATGCGATACACATTACAGCATGGGAGAGCTGGAAACCTTGAGCTAGCCAGGCATGGTAGCTCACTCCAGCGCTTAGGAGGTGCACGGACAGAGAGGTGGCTCCTGGGTGGTTGCTGACCTGTCAGTGTCTCAGCTTCAAGTTCAGTGCACAGACTCTGCCTCCAAAACAACAGGCTTGAGAGTAACGGTGAGGGGGCTAGAGAGATGGCTCAGCAGTGAAGAACAATTAGACCCAGGTTCTATTCCCAGCACCCACATGGCAGCCCACAACCATCTGCAACTGTAGTTCCAGGAAATCTGATGCCGTCTTCTGGCCTCCATGGGCGTTAGGCACAAATATGGCACGTAGCTGTGGATTCTGGCAAAATATATACATGAAATTAAATATAATCATATAATGGTGCAGGAAGGTACTCAAAGTCAACTCCTGCCCCCCCACACACACACACGCGCACACACACGCACGCACAAGCAAGCAAATGCCTCCTTGCACACCCTCATGAACACCACCATTAAACAGCCTCCCCCCACACGCTGCCTGAGCTGAAGACCACTTCCACAAATGGTGTGAGGGTAGAGGAAGGGTTTGGCCACATGACACTGGGCCTGAGCAGTTTTCAGTGGCCCTCTGAGGGTCGCTTGGCTCCTTCTCCCTTTGTTAGAAAGGAACTAACACTCTGTTTAGTGAATGAAATCACTGGTAGATGTGATTTGTGAGATAAAAGCATCAGGTCTGATCACTTTGGCTTGTTTTGGGTCGGAAGTGGCTTTCTGGTTAAGCGAGCATGCTCAGCGGTTTTCAGTGGTAAAGGGGTCAGGCGTGCTTGATCCGTCCACACAGGCCAGCACCCTGTCTTCACCACGCCCCGGCTGGCTGCAGACTCCCTCAGAGAAACGTGATCTCGAGGACTTTAGTGATGGGTCAGAACATGTGAGTCATGCATGCCGTGCCCTGTTGTGCTGAGGTAATGGCATTTATTCTGTCATCTCCTCAGAGGAACCTTAAAATATGACGGCAACCCATGCGTGGTATGATCCCTGCGCCTGGGAGGCAGAGGCAGGCAGATCTCTGGGAATTCAGAGGCAGCCTGGTCTACAGAGTGAGTTCTAGGACACCCAGGGCTATTTAGAGAGACCTTGTCTCCAACAAACAAACAAACAAACAAACAAACAAAAAAACCACAATATATATATTATGTCATGGACCAGGTATGGTAATGTTCCTTTGATTCCAGCCCTCGGAAGGCCAAGGCAGAGGGATCTCTGTGAGTCCCAGGCCAGCCTGATGTGCATAATGAGC